AAGGAAGGAAAGGAAGGAAAGGAAGGAAAGGAAGGAAACTATCTACTGAAAGGTAATATGCATTTTGAACATAAGTTTTTCCAGAAATAAATGTAATCTCTGTGCCTAGGTCTAGTAACACCGTAGAGTTTCAATATCCAAAGTACAGCTGCTTTGAAGTTCATCTGACAACTCTTAGACTTAATTTCCATTGTAAAATCATGCTCAATGTTTTGTTGAGTCATGTGTCCAAGAATTTAAAATGTCATTTTTATAGCTAACACTGTTTCCACCTTCAGCAAAATTAGTTTTTAAAACAGTGTATCTTCCTATTTTGTTTTTTATTTCTATGCAGAAACAGCCTCTGTGAAATGTTTATTACCCCTTACACAACAGGAGCTCATTCAGGCATCTCAGCATTTCAGAATACCAGTTCTTCAAGCAATCCCTCTCCACTTATTTATTTCCAATATGAATTTTAGGTACTCCTCTTGATGACTGCTATTCCAAAAGTAAATACAAACTTTTAAATGAACATATTGTAAATTGAATTAAATTCCAGATTATCACACAAATAATTTTATTCATTTTGATCAAAGGCATCTGCCGTGGCAAAAAAATTAAACACTTTTCTTAGCAAATACAATAAATAATTTTTACATGAGAACACTAAAATAAATAATCTATTTGTCCACAGCTACAAAACTTCTAGACATAAAAATGCTCCCTGTTAGAACTACGCCCATGGATTTACTTAGTTGTGTGCATTTTATCACTACTTAACAGCTTTGTTACACATTTGATTTGCCCTTGGATTTTAAAGCCAGAGGATCAAATAATGCGATTGCAGTCTCTGAGGTCTCTCCAGAAGAGCCTGGCGTTCACACCAGCTCCCCACTAGAGGGGGATCACGGAGTCCCACAGTCCACACCAAAATCCTGACGTGAAGAGGAAAATGTGAAAGAAAAATTGGTTGTGGTGACTTCAGTGGGGATGGCAGTGTAACATTCCCTCGGAGGTGAAGTCTCATCTGTCTGCATTCTGACAACAGCACGTTTTCTCTAAATAGATCTGAAAGGAAAATGCTGAACCCCAGAAACAGGAAAATGAACAAGCACTTCAAATTGTTCAAGCAATGACCCCAGTTTATCCAGAAACACACTGTCCTATCTTAAGCAGCAGGTTCATCAGGGCACAGATTTCCCTATGATAAGGCTGCATCACCTAGAAAAATGACGCCAAAACCTGTGTGTAATGCTATAAAATGTTAAGAGCTCTAGAATTAGTCTGTGCAGCAGTATGTGTATATGTAAAGGTAATGGTGACACCTCCAGACTGGGTTCAGGTTTAGTAATCAACATCACTGAAAAATTGGCAATCAGCACTTTCTGGTCTAAAGGTTTCTGTAACTTTGAGGTTTCTGTAAATAAATGTTTCTGTAACTGCTCAAGGATGTTTCAATTCCATAGTAGAGTCCTTGGAACAAGATCCATCATTTTCTACTGAATTGCTAACACCCAAAGTAGAATGAATTTCTGATCTGTGTTTAAAGATGGCCATAATAGTGTTAAAGATGCCCATAATTACAGTGGATTAGTGATATATTTTTTACACAGCAGGTTGCAAACTTGCTATCATAAACACTAAAGAAAACAGGCAGAGAGCACTCCTAAACCCATGACAGCAGATGACTGGGGAGTACAACAAAAAGTGGTCAGGCTCATATGTTCTTTCTACATAGCACCCCTTATTTTCAGTGCTAACAACAGCACACTGGATGCACTGCACTGTATTTATTACCTTCCCATGTCCTGACTCAAGGTGATATTCAGAATTAGCTCTTCACAGAAAATGTTCTATCATTAGTGATTTACAAACTGAAATTAGAAAGGCAACCTAATGGAAAATAATAATTAATACCATTATATTTCCAAACAGCAGGCCAACATGTCATTTCACTCTGTAAGACCATGCATGGACACTCAAATAATTAAACACATTTGGTTATGCACTTAAATAAATGGAAGTCAAATTATTTCTTCTACAAAGCAAGAAAAATGTAGCTCAAAGCAGGGCAGGGTGAGTACACGAAGAAGTCATTCAGAAAGTGAGGCAGCAAGGAAGTAGTAAATGCTTGTTGTAAAGCCTGTGAATTTTTTCAATCATGTTTCATCGTGCGTTCTGGAGCTGTTCTAACTTTTGTGTGTTCTTTTTTATTTGTAATGTAACATCAGATATAAACATCAGACAACAATTTTCCAAAAATAAGATGGCAACAAGTCTACAAACATTACAAAATCTGAACTCTTGAGAGTACAGACCACAAAAAACATGGCCTATAACTCTTGTTAATATTTATGGGAATCAGACGTGCACAGAGGAAAGACACAGTGCTTTCACAAATCTTGAAACTGCCACAATGATATAATGTCCATGCACATGGACAATGTCATATCCATGCCTCTGTACCTCGCAACTACGAATAATCACAGAGGCTAACAATGTTCTTTATTTTAGTAACCTTCATTTTCACATTTATTTGAGACATCTGTTTGAAAAGTGCTCAGTCACGAGGGGTGCCAGCCCCTGATATGAACAAACCATGCAGGGCTTTTCAAACAATCAGTTACAGTGCATTGGCAGCTTCCCATTGTGTGGTTTTCATTCAGAGTACAAACAGCCACACATGTCAGTGTGGCAGGAAAGACTCTACTCACCTTGTCAGGTAATGTTTTGATACTTTGCAGTTCTGATGGTTCTACACAGCCAAAATGAGTCAGCTATGCTGTTACTGATTATCGGTGACTGGCTTGATATGCCAGACAGTATGTTTTTACAAAATAATCAGAAAGCTATCAGAAAATCCTCAGCACTCAAAAAATCCACTTTTCTCTTGAAAAAAAAATCCATAATTTTTCTTTTCAACATTGCAGCCATAAATCAAAGGATTGTAGTAGCAGCTTTTTTAAAACCAGATAAACTGAAAACTCATGAAGGCAAATAATAATAAAGTGCTGATAAAGTTGATTTGCTCTGAAGTGAACAGCTGGAGAGACTCTCCTACACAGTGAAGATTAAGAAATCATTCCAGGTAGCAGAGCAAACCCCCTGGAAGGATTATTCTGTATGGAAAAAATTCTGAGAAACTTCTCAATTTTCATCCAGACCCCACTCAACCAAAAGGCTACTGAACCCAATCCTTATTTAGCAAAAGTTGACAGACATTAGCAGGGGGCCTGTCTCAAAACAAGACTTTCTCTAAACTGAGTAAGGACCTGAGATTCCGGCCTTAAATTCAATAAACATTTATATTTATTTATTTAAAATAAAGCTCTACCCCTTAAATCCATTTCTTTTTCTACCACAGAAATACCTTCTATGTCAATATGTCAAAAGGCTTTCATGGTAGATTTTTACACAAAATTGGAGTCCTGGGATGAAAGATTCTGGCAAGAATCAATGTATATGACCTATCACATTCATCAGTTCTGGAAACCAATGTCTCAATAAAACACACAATTACAAAAATGTACATTTTTCCCCTGTCTGGGGCACTGACTGTTCTGTGGAATTCTGCAGGGTCTAAAGCTCACTGAGAGCAAAAATGATCTTTTAAGCTCTGCTGATGACCTTACTTCATTCCCAGCACACAGATAAAATATATAACGACAGGATAATTTATGTTGGAAGTCATCTCTGAAGTTCAACTCTTTCACAGCAGCACCAACTTCAAAGTCAGCTACTAATTCAAAGCCAGATCAGGTTTTTCAGGTCCTTGTCCAACTAAGTTTCATGTATCTCCAATGATAGCAACCTCTCTAGATAACCTGTTCTGTGCTTGACCTCCCCATAATTTATTTCTCCTTCTGCCTAATCAGAATGTCTCCTGTTGCAACCTGTGTCCTTGCCTCCTGTTCCTTCACACTCCCCAGGATTCTCTGAGCCCAGGCATGAATTGCCTGTGACCACCAAATCAGTGTCTCATGATTGACTCCTGAATGGTGCCTCTCTCTCAAAGCTTCTCAGTCTTCCACTTGTTTGAATGACCATGTTTCACCCAAGCTTACTTTCAACTAAGCTTGCCCGACTCTTAAAATGTCAGGAAAGATGCTACTAGCTCTGTCCCTTACTGTGACCGACTGCTGTGCATGTGTCACCCAAGTTTCAGACCAAAATGACACAGGCTAATTCCCTACAGGAAAATACACCCTGAAATAAATCACAGCTCATCATCTCCTATGAGGCATCTGATTAATGGTACAGGGAGAGGAAGAACCCTGCACCAGCATTCCTGCACTCTTGTATGACCCTAATGTTCCAAATTCGCTATGAACCTGCAGTCTGGAATATCTTGCTACCATAAAAAGCAGCTCATATGTTATATGAATACTTTCTGCTTTCTTTATGAATACTTACTGCTAAATGACTGAAACTCTAATTTGCTGTTCAATGTGCTGCATTTCCACTGACTAAGTCAGGCAGTTTGGAATAGAGTACCAAGCTCATGCTCCATAGGAGTCAAAAGGAAATGTGCCAACAGCAAAAATCCTCCTGACTCCCCTGGCACCAGAACCAGGCTCTACAGGGG